GATCCCGTGCTCAAGGCTGACGCAGGCGTTCCGTGGAGGCTGGGCGGTACGAGGCTCAAAGGAGAGCGCCCAGCCAGCGCGCCGATTCTGAGGAACGTGACCTAAAGTTTGGAGTTCTCCAGCAACAGCAAAACAAGGGTGTGCGGTGGCACCTCCAGATCCCCGGGGCTGAGGAAGAGCCAGGCTTGACGGGCCAGGAGGGCTACGGAAACAGCAGGAGGGGTTCGAGCGCTCCGAACGCGTGTGCCCAGCCGGGCACTTGTGCCCACAGCATTTTTAACTCAGTTCAGAGCCGCGTTGCAGCTGCCGGTGCCGTGGTCTCTCGGGAGGACCCATGGCTGAGCAGGGTGCTGCAAACAAGCTAAACTACAACCAGGAAATCTGATACGCAGCCGGTCCCTGTCCATCCGCTTCACCGTAAAGGGAGATAAATTGCCCCGGGGACATAAACTCGACCTCAGCCAAGAATTCCTTTTCAGAGGGAAACAATTCACTGGCTCGTACACTCACTACGTGTTTTCTTCTGAAGGCTGCAGGAAAAATCCATATATTTTAAGAATTTACGGCTTGTGTTCATCACGCTGGCCGGAATGCTGGCACGCAGGCAGCTCTCTTCACGATTATGCAGTTATTTTCCCCATACCCGCCCAAACCCAGCAAGGTGGGATCCTGCATCTCTCTCCTGTAGGTGTAAGGGGCCAACATTGAGATGTGCGGCCCCAGAAGTGCCAGGTGCAGAATTCCTCACACCTTCGCCTGCAACTGTCGGGCGAAGCCATTTTTGACAGAGCACAGAGGCACACGCGGTCAGGAGGCAGAAGGCAGTAGCTTTATTTTAGGAATAGCACATAGGCATTGGGTCGAGACTGAACTGTGGATATGCATAGCCCCATTATCAAAGAATATAACCATGTGTCAGTAGTTCTGGTTCTTCAAAAATATTCACATAAAAATACCAAAGGGACTGGAGTTCTAACTATTCTGGAAAGTTACAACATGTAGCAAAATCTATGTACAGCATTTCCACATTTGTAATGACAGTTTCGAAAGAACGTCTGGTGGTTTCAATATTGAATATGCTTTTAGAAAATAAAAAATAAATCAACGGAATGCAGTGTGCGACATCTGAAACGGCAGAGGAGCTGCGTGAGCATCGCCCTGTCACCGCCGGCGGGCAGAGGAGAGGCAGAGACGGACAGGGCTGGACGCCTGGGAACACAGCGCTGGGAACTACCTGGCACTTAAAGCTGTATAAACTGAGAACGCTTGTGAAAATATACTTCACTTTCTACAGCGGGGTTTAAAAAAACAGCGAAAACAGAAGATTTGATGCTCATAAGGTCTCCCATAGATAATGCA